AATAAAATATATATTAAATTTTGAAAAACGCCATTTACCCCAGAGTTTTCTGATGAATCAATCAGTATGAATAACTTCATTTCGATCAGAATGTCACTTTACCCGTTTTTTCCGTGGAATATTATTTCTGACTCACGCTACTTCCACAAAAAACAGTGTATGTCCCAAAGGCTTTTGATTCCTTACAGAATGAAAAATCTTATATGGAGATAACATGTAGTAAATATGTTTTCTAATGTCTTTCTTGTATCAAAGTACAATATTATAACAAAAATATTCGTCCATGTGTGTGTATGTGGATATGCGTGTAATCAGTCATATCTCGGTATTTCCTTGACCGATTTTGATCCACCAAGGTTTGTATTTTTTTTCCTCAACTTATAACCACGAAAAAAAATTAAGATGTCACCGTCTTGCTTTTTTTTTTTTTTTTTTTTCATTCCAATTTTTTAGATTTTAAAAATTGTTTTTTTATAGTTGGATATGTATATTTTATTTCGTGGTATAAAGTTATAAAAATCATAAAATTGGTGGATAATTACATATTAATTGTAACGTTATTAAAATTTTTTAGTTATACAAATTATAATGAGTATAGCCCAGCCTGTAGTTAACTCAGTTTTTTTGCATATAAAAAGCTAACATCAAAGAGTTTATTCTTTGATTAAAAGAACAAGTGGTATCGTTGACTGATACAGCAATTTAAACATAAAGATAGTGAAACAACAGATATGTGAGAGATAAGTGCCAATGAACTAGTCGCGGGTTTTTTTTTTATTTAGGAGCGGCGAACTTTTTCACTGACTTTACGAGTTAAAAAAAAAATCAAGTGCTCTTACACCTCTATTTAATTTATTACTGAGAAAAATATAGGAGATTTCATTTCTAAAAATATGATCAAAATTGTCTCACAAATCGATACAACTAAATAACTCATTTTTGAGAAAATAGTACTTTTTAATATTACGGCGGTATGGGGGTTAACATATTCTAGTCCCGGGGCCAAGAGGGTTCTCTTAATCGATGGATCCATGACTATACCATTTTTCTTATGTATTTTGGTCACTTGAATCCAATTTTAAGAACAAGTAATTGCTACAAATAATTTTTACAAGCTGATACAAAAGGCTCGTTTTTTTCGTCAAAAACTATTCAATTTATTGTTTGCTTTGTTGTAAACAAAAAAGGTTACTAGTAATATTTTTTATGAAATACTAATTAAAAAACAATATACATTTAAAGCTTTTACTTTTAATATTTATTACCTACTATGTATTTAGTTGAACTTCTCTGTTGAACGGTATTCTCTCTCTTTTTTTTTTAATACATCATTTGTTGGTTTATGTACTTTTTTGTTCATTCAAATGATACATAGTGGATATAGAAATACGATAAAATTCGATCCTCGAATACATGAGAAGAATTATAAGAATTATTAAGATTAAGATTTTAGTTGTATTAATATTTAGTTACAGAATTAATAAATTTCATTTTAAAATTGATGATAAGCTTATACAAGTATTCATTTTTGTATTTTTATCGTACATGAAAAAAAATCATGAATTAAAATTATACCTTTCCAATTCATTCATGCAAGCCGCGAATAATAATTGATCAATGTCAATCGGATTTTTAGATGACCCTACACGTAGTTAGTGTATGTCGTTAAATAAAATGTCCTATTGTTATAAAATTAGCCTCCAAACGGTATTCCTGTATATCAAAATTATAAAACATAATTCATTGGTACAATTTTTTGGTTTCTCTAGTACAGTTTATTAATGCAAATCATATTTTATCAGTGGGAATATTTCAGAAATTACAATTTGAAAGCTGTTGAAAAGTGTAGTTTGTTTAATTAAACGATTTTTATGTCAAATTTTTCAAGAAAACCATTGAATTACAAGTAATATTTCAAACTCACATTCAAGGCTTTTTCCATAATTGGACTTTGAATACTTCGACTTCCGTTTCCGATAAACAAGATACTCCATTAAATGAGTCACAACACGGTTAGTTTGACTCAACAAAAATAAAACGAAATTCCTTTCTGTGTTTCCTTAATTTTCTGGGATAACACTTTACTCACCAAAATGACGAGATCTTCTCAAAAATCATTTCATGTAATGCGAGATGTAATGTATGCATTTTTTAATAAAAATTTGATGGTCAACGCAAAAATTAGACAAAACTGTTAAGAAAACTTTATGAAATATTTTATTGAAAGAATAAAATTCATTTGGAAATATGTGAATTTAAAAATTTTCGATTTCATATTTTATGAATGGTTTTTATAAAAAATTAGGGGCACTGACTTTGTAACTTGACGCTAGTAGTCTCGTCGTTAAATTTTAAAAACTCATATTTTGATAGAAGCCTTCTCCAAACACTTTAAGAAATAAGTTATCTAGCAGTTGTATTTTCAGATTTATGTTCTGATATGAAAAAGGTTTTGATTGACAAGCCAATCTGCTTTAATTATTTCATATTTGAAATTTTTCGTATGAAATACAATACGTACCAATGAAAAGCGCGTGTACTATTGATATAATCCATTTATACTTACAATTTAAATAATCATTGTCACTTTCTGATTTGCTGGTAACTATATTTTGTTACAAGTTTTTTTGAAAAAATTCATACTAATGTTATAATTTTTTGAACTTTTTGCTATCATGGGTTTCAAAGTCCACAATTATCAAGGTTTCGGACTGCATTTTTAAAATAAAATTAAAAAACTATGTATGACAGATTCATCGATCACTGATAAGAACTAGTCATTAAATACGTATTAACGTTGTTTTAGTAATTTTTCACGAAACTGTGTCACCCAATAATAGAGTGTCAAATTGTTTTTGAACAGTGGTATTAGTGGTAACAGGTTACGCGTCAGCCTGCATCGAGTACTTTTCGGTCTTTGTAATGTTTGGCATGGGTAATAAAGTTATAACTTGATAACTAGGAAACTTTTGTCTTACAAAGAACAGTCTTTTAAATTAATTTAAGATGAAAATACACAGAATGTAAAAATTGTAGGTGTCTTAAAATTCTGATTACTTTAAAAACACACTCATCTAGTGATAAAGTGTTTAAAATTTTCAAGGTAAATCAAGCATAATTGCGTAAAAAATACTTGTGAATTAACAATTTATACACATTAATAACTACTATTAGAAAAGACAAAGCCGTGGGTCATTACTGATAAGACAAGGGAAATAAAAATTTCAAGATTAGGTTAAAACGATATTATGAACAATTTGAAAGTCAAGGATGCACGAGCCAGTTTTCTGGGTATCAATTTCGTTATCTAAGCTTTCAAGGAATTGTTTTAGAACTTATAAAAAATAAAACTAATATAAATCTAAACTTTCCAACTGAGTCATCGCAATTTTTGTATTTGAAAAAAGACTTACTTATGTTTTTCTAATTCAAAAAGGTATCATTTTTTTTTTTTAAGTTCACAAGGTACTAAGATGATATATGACTATTCTCTATGACTATCCGTGGTAAATATGGTACTTACAATAGGTCATTCGATAGTTAGTGGCTGATTGTTTGAGCTAATATAATACAATTACATGTACGGAACACTTATTTCGCCATTTTTCAAAAATTTACTAAAACTTTTGTGACATCTATCTATAAAAAAATAGTGATCTTCACCCATACGTTTTAAATTGTTCATTTTTATACTCTTAAATGTACGTATTAAGTTTTTCAGGATTAATTTTCGATTCGTATGTCTCAGTAATTAGTAGATCATTTACAGTTACTCGAATTCAATTTTATGTACACAAACAAAATTACTTAAGCTAGATTGAAGTTTGTATTTCCACAAAAAAAAAAAAAAAAAAAAATCGTCAGGACCAATTTAAAAACAATCTTCATGAATATTGCTGCTTTGTAATAATTTTCCAGAGCATAAGTTTCTGTACTTAGTCTTGATAATATTTTGCTTATTAATCTTCGAGAGATAAATATTTTTCATTTATAGCGCGTTTTCTGCTTGCTTGCATTTTTAATTTAGTTGCTATATATGTATATATAATCATATGATCATGTGCTTACATGTAACATTCTTGCTGAACCAGTTTAAGCATTTTTTAAAATGTTTATGACACATGCAAAATTTTACTCTTCAAAGTTGAAGTTCAGTCGGTTTATAATTTGCATTACTTGTGTAAGTACTGTTTTAAGTTGAAGAAATTGATCAACAAATGGTTTTCTTATTATTATTTTTTTTGTGTATGTACATATATATATATATATATATATAATATACCCGTAC